GTCCGCCGCGGTCCGGTCCGACTCGCGCGACGAGCGTCGCGGCGAAGGGACGCGGCCGCGGGACGCGGCGTAGTAGAGCCCGCTGTCGTCGAGCTCCGCGGTCTCGACGGTGCCCGCGGGGCACGCGCCGTCCGCGCAGCTCGCGCCGGTGAACGGGTCGAAGCACGTGCAGTTGCCGCCGCCCTGCGCGCCGTCGTCGCAGGAGCCCCGCGACCGGCCGCTGCCCGCGACGCCGCACGTGTCCGTGATGCGCGGCGCGTTGCGGTCCTCGCCGCCGCCCTCGGGACCTGCGGCGCGGCCGTCGCGCGCGCGCGCGCGGGCTTCGCGGACGCGGGCCGCCGGACACAGGTCGCAGTCCGCGCCCCAGAAGCCGGGCCGGCACTCCTCGCACTGGTCGCCCGTCGTCCCCGAGAGGCACTCGCACGCGGCGGCCGCGTAGCGGCCGTCGCCCGCGCGGCAGAGGCCCCGGAGGGAGCAGGCGCCGTCGCCGCTCGCGAGCTGGCAGTAGGAGTTGGCGTAGTAGGTCAGGAACCCGCCCTGGTCGCCGACGAGGAGCTCCGCGGCGCCGTCGCCGTCGAGGTCGCCGAGCGCGACCGCCGGCGCCGTCGCGAGCGCGCCGAGCGACGCCTCGTTGAGGCCGTGCTCCGCGTCCTCGACGAGGTCCATGGCCGTCGACGACCCGAAGTTCGCGTAGTAGACCGCCGTGCCCGTGAGCTTCGCCAGCAGCAGGTCGAGGTCGCCGTCGGCGTCGACGTCGTAGAGCGCCAACACAGTCTGGTCGATGTGGATCGCGTCGACGGCGTCGAAGGGGTTTTGTCCGGACGGCGCCTCGACGAAGGCCGGGCGCGACGCGTTGCCGCCGTTCTCGAAGTAGACGATGGGCGTGAACGCCGGCGCGTACGTGGCCACGAGGTCGAGGTCCGCGTCGCCGTCGACGTCGCCGAGCTCCGGCTTGGCGAGCGTCCGCCCGTCCGGCGCGTCGACGACGAGGTCCGGATCCGCGAAGTCGAAGCGGAACGCGTCCGCGGACCCGCGGTTGTAGAAGAAGGCGACGGCGCCGTCGCCGTCGCCGAACGCGACGTCGAAGGCGCCGTCGCCGTCGACGTCGCCGACGGCGAGCGCCATGTGCTCCTTGCCCGCGAACGCGTCCGCCGCGGCGTTCGCGCCCCCGTCGCCGTGGAGCGCGAAGTGGGGCGACGCGGCGCCGCCGTCGTTCTCGAGGAGGTAGACCGCGCCGCCGTAGGCCGAGCTCAGAATGACGTCGAGGTCGCCGTCGCCGTCCGCGTCGACGAGCTCGGGGGTAGACGCCCCAGTCGAAGGCGACGCTTTGCGTCGGCGAGTCGGCCTGGAGGTCCTCCCAGGTCTCGCCGTAGTGCGCCTCGGAGACGGTGGTCAAGTATAAAACCACGAGGCCGTCGACGGAGCCGACGAGCACGTCGGGCAGGCCGTCGCCGTCGAGGTCGCCGACGGCCGGCGCCGCGTAGGCCTGCGTGAGGTCGTCGTAGGCCGTCGCCGCGGCCCAGTTGTTCAGGGGCTCGTCGGCGTCGTCGGGCCGCTCGAAGTAGGGCTCGTAGCGCGAGCCGACGTTCCTCGCGAGGTTCACGTAGGGCATCATCTCGCCGAGGAGCACGTCGACGTCGCCGTCGCCGTCGACGTCCGCCGCGGCCGCCGCGGAGACCGCGCCGACGCTCTCGGAGAAGACGACGGCGTCGGACTCGACGAGGCGCGGGGCCGTCGCGTTGCCCTCGTTGACGTAGTAGTGCAGGTTGCCGTTGCTCGCGCCGAGCACCATGTCGAGGTCGCCGTCGCCGTCAAAGTCCGCGAAGGACGGCGACGGGCACTCGTAGGCGCCCGCGGCGTCGGCCTCGAAGGCCGCGACGAGCCCGCTGCCGAAGGGCGCGCCCGCGGCGTCGCTCGCGTCGACGAAGGACGGCGCCGCGGCGCCGCCGACGTTCTCGAGGTAGCGGAGGTACGCGCGTTCCGATCCGAGCACGAGGTCGAGGTCCGCGTCGCCGTCGAGGTCCGCGAGCGCGGGCGCCAGCTGCCCCGTGACGTTCGCGCAGGGGAAGTCGCAGCCGCAGGTCACGACCGCCGCGGCGCCGGCGCAGGGCGGGTTCTCCGTCGCGACGGTCGCCGGGTAGAAGGGGTAGCCGAACGCGTCGTCCCAGCGGAACGCCGGCGCGAGCGCGGAGCCGACGTTCCAGAAGAGGAAGACGTCGCCGCGGTGGCCCAGGATGTCGCGGGCGTCGCCGACGTCCGACGCGCCGACGACGAGGTCGAGGTCCGCGTCGCCGTCGAGGTCGCCGAGCGCGGGGCGGAGCCGCGTCGGCTCGTAAGTCGCCGTCACGTTGAGGTCCGCGAAGGTGAGCAGCGCGTCGTCGCCGTAGGCCCGGTTCCGGCCCCAGCAGCCGGACGAGTTCGCCAGGCGGCAGAAGCGGTTCGTCTCCGACGACGACAGCGTCTGCTGCGAGTTGCTCCGGCCCTCCTCGTCCGAGGACGCGTCTTTCGCGTCCGAGGACGCGCCCTCCTCGGCGCTGGGCGGCTGGGCGCCGCACAGCAGCGCCGCGAGGAGCAGCGCGGCGGCCGGAGGCCGAAAGCTCCCCATCAGACTTCCTCAGATAATCCGCCCATCGAAATCGAGGGCTGCTTGTTGACCTGCATTCGAGGTTCAACAGTACGTGTGTTCATATGGGTGCCCACAACTGCGTCGAAGGGTGCGAGGGTTGCTAGCAATTGCAACGAGGAGGGGTGCGACGGTTGCTAGCGATTGCTCGTGCGACGGCCGCGGCGGCGCAGCGCGTCTCCCGATGCGGGTCCTGTGCGGCGCCGCGTGCCTCGCCTCCGCCGTCGGCTGGTCCGAGGTCTCCATTCGCACGGGCGCCGTCGTCGCGGGCGCGTCGCCGCGCACCGCGGCCGCGGCCCTCGCGCGCGGCGACTCGGTGCTCGTGCTGCCGGGCGTCGGCGCCGCGGCCGAGTGCGAGGCCGTGGCGCGGGCGTGCGCGCCGGCGCTCGACGGCGGGCGGAGCCTCGTGCGGCTGCCGAACGCCGCGGCCGCGGCGCTCGCGGCGGAGGCCGAGGACGCCTTCGCGTGGGAGCCCGACGCCGGCGCGCCGCTCTCGCGGCTCCCGCCGGAGGCCGACGGCCTCTGCGGCGCGATCCTCCGGCGCGCGCTCGCGCGCGTCGACGAGGCGCTCGCGCCCGTGGCCGTGTCCCAGTTCGGCACGGCGCGCGTCGCCGACCTCTACGACGCGGGCGAGCTCGAGTTCTCGGAGCGCGAGCCCGCCGTGAACGTCTACGGCGAGGGCGGGTCGTTCCACCCGCACCGCGACCACCAGGGCCTCACGGTCCTCGTGCCGCTCTCCGAGGGCCACGGCGGCGGCGGCACGGGCTTCTGGGCCCGCGAGGATCCGCCGGAGGGTTCGGCGGAGGCGTGGGACGACGACGACGACCGGGAGGCGGCCGAGGTCGCGCGACGGTCCGCCGAGCCGCCGGCGACGGTGCTGCGGCCCGCGCGGGGGTCGGCGCTGCTCTTCTCGGGCGACGTGCTCCACGCCGGCCTGCCCGTCGCGCGCGGCTCGCGCGTCATGCTCGTCGCGAGCTTCAGCGGCGTCCGCTTCTGGCCGGACGCGCGTCGCCGGCCGATCGGCGCGGCGACCTACGCCGTCTGGAGTTAACCGCGCCATTCAACGGCGTTCTTTCTTAGCCCGGGTGAGCTCCGACCGGGCCGGGATTTCGGCGACGCGCGGCGAGATCTACGTGCGGCTTTGGTTGATGATGTCAGTAGGAGTAGGAGTAGGAGTAGAAGGCCGAATCGAGCGGGCAAGAGCAGCCGGAGCAGTCGCAGCCATAGTTTTCTAGCTCCGAGCAGTAATATCCGGCCTCGCTCGCTTCATCGCAGGTATAGCCGTTGCACGTAGGCGCGCAGGCCGAGTCGAGCGGGCACGAGCAGCCGGAGCAGTCGCAGCCGTAGGTGGTTTCTAGCGCGGCGCAGGAAAATCCGTGCATCACACCAAAAGCGTCACACGTAGAGCCGTAGCACGTAGGCAGGCATACAACCTCGCAGAAGATGACTCCGGCCTCGATAAGGTCGTCGAACGCGGAATCGAGCGCCGGAGCCCCACCATTCGCACAGATGGCCGTGCCCGCAAGTGATACCGGTTCCAGGTGGCTGAGTTCGAGGAAGGAAGCGGGGAGGCTCGAGAGATTGGCATTGTTGCGCAGTTCGAGCGTGACGAGGCTCGCGAGGTTTCCGAACGACTCCGGCAGCGACGCGAGGGCGTTGTCCTGCAGGTAGAGCATGGCGAGGCTCTCGAAGTCGCCGAACGACTCCGGCAGCGACGTGAGGGCGTTGTGGTTCAGCTTGAGCGTGACAAGGCTCTCGAGTCCGCCGAACGACTCCGGCAGCGACACGAGGGCGTTGTCGTGCAGGTGGAGCTCGTCGAGACTCGCAAGTGCGCCGAACGACTCCGGCAGCGACGTGAGGGCGTTGTCCTCGAGGAAGAGCTCGTCGAGGCTCTCGAGGCCGCCGAAGGACTCCGGCAGAGAAGTGAGGGCATTGTGGCTCACGGCGAGCGAGACGAGGCTCGAGAGGTCGCCGAACGACTCCGGAAGCGACTCGAGGGCGTTGCTGTCCATCGTCGTCGTCGATGAACCACAGGTCATAGGGTTCGAGCGCGGGCACGGTGCAAAGATGCGTCCCCCAAAGCGTGGTCACCACCGCGTCATGCTTCGTCGCGCCCTCGCGCAGGCGGCGGCGGACGATTTGCGCGTCAAGATTCGCGTAGCCCGTGCTGAGTCCCACTTGATAACCTGACCCAAAGGCTGCCCAACTCCAATCGTCCTCCCATCTTTCGACCGCCCCGTTCCCCTGGAAGCGCCAATCGAAGCTCATCTCGAAGCACAGCAGCTTCACGCCGTACGCCACCTTCAAAGAGATCACGCCGAGCAAGAGGTAGACGCACGCGCCGACGAGCGTGTCCGCGTTCTCGTAGTCGTACCACTGGACGAGTCGCGCGTATTTGTAGTTGTCCGAGTGTTCGAAGTCGAAGTCGCTCCGCGGCAGGTCTAATTTGTACTCGTACTCGTAATAGATCTCGGTCGTGTCGAAGCCCGCCGAGCGCCACGTGTCGACCTTCTTCTTCTTCCACTCGGACACGTTCTTGCGGCTGAAGGCGTAGAGCTGGAAGCCGTTGCAGCCGCTGTAGACGAGGATGGCGCCGACGACCGCGAAGACCAGGCCGGAACCGACTCCGCCCCACCCGACGCTCTGCCAAAAACCTCGATTGACGGGTGCCTGGTCGTGCTGCGCGTCGATGCGTCGTTTCGGCGTCTCCGTGGTGGCGCCACCTCCGACCTCCATCCAGCGGCAGCCTTCCCAGACTCTCAGCCACTTTGGGCAGTGGCCGTACTGCTCATTCTGGTTCAACTTCAAGGTTTCCACAGTAGCCAACGTTGCCGCGGGCGTCGACGGCCGGCGCTACGCCTGCGCCGTTCTCCGCTCGCGACGGGTTAACCGCGCCGTTCGAGAGGAGGTTGTTAGTGTCGGGGGGCGGGGGCGGGAGTTCGCGGGAGGCGAGGCGCGCGGGCCTCTTCAGCCCGACTCCGTCGGGTTGGAGGTCGGGTAGGACGTGCGCGTCTGGTGGTGCGTTTTGTTCGCGTGCGGCGGCGGCGGCCCGGGGGGCAGCGGCATGAGCGTCGGCGGGTCCGTGCCGTAGGTCGCGGTCGGCGCGCCGGGCGCGCCGACCGTCGGGTACTGCACGAGGTCGCGCGTCGGCCCGGACGTCGGCGCGAGGGGTGACGCCGTCGGCGCGACGGGCGCGGCCGACGGCGCGCCGGCGAAGGAGATGGTCGCGAAGGGCGCCGACGTCGGCGCCACGAACTTCGCCGCGGCGACGGGCGACGCCGTCGGCGCCGGCTCGGGCCCCGCCGTCGGCGACGGCACGGGCCTCTCCGAGGGCTTGCCCGTCGGCGTGATGGGCGCGGGCGTCGGCTTGAACGTCGGCGGCGCCTCGCCGACGCACTCCCAGCCCGCGGAGCCGTCGCAGTAGCCGCACTTGTTCATCTCGAGCCAGCACTGCGGCGTCGGCAGGCTCGTCGGCACGGCCGTGGGCTCGGGCACGGGCACGAGCGTCGGGTTGGGCGACGGCGCGTAGGACGGCGCGCCCGTCGGGGCCGGCGACGGGTGGCGCGTCGGCAGGGGCGTCGGCGACGTGGTCGGCGCCGACGACGGCGCGAACGACGGGTAGGTCGTCGGCAGGAACGTCGGCTCCGACGTGGGCATGAACGACGGCTCCGGCGTGGGCTGCGGCGACGGCGCCGACGTCGGCGACGGCACGGGCACGGGCGTCGGCGGGAAGGACGGCGCCGACGTGGGCTCGAGCGACGGGCGGCTCGTCGGCACGGGCGTCGGCGCGGGCGTCGGCGCGGACTCGGAGAGGACCGCGCAGAAGCGCGCGTCCTGGATCTCCGCGACGAAGGTCTTGTCGCTGGAGCCCTCGAGGTCGCCGCGGTAGACGCCGGTGTCGTCGATGAAGAAGAGGAGGTTCTCCTCCGGCGACACGGCGACGCCCATGGGCGATTTGAGGCTCTGGTAGACGGCCGCGTAGGACGCCGCGGGGTCGAAGATGTCCGCGACGTAGATCTGGTTCGCCGCGGCGAAGAAGAGCTGGCGGTTCGTCGCGTCGACGTCCAGGCCGCCGAAGTTCGCGAGGCCCGCGTCGGCCTCGGAGAGGACCAGCGTGAGGTCCGAGCCGTCCTGGTCCATCTTGTAGATGCCCGTGCTGTCGACGACGTAGAGCGCCGCGGCGCGCTCGTCGACGGCGACGTCGATGGGCTCGTCGAAGCCCTCGGAGACGACCCAGTAGTCGCCGTCGTTGCCCTCGAGCTCCGCGCCGTAGAGCGTGTTCCGCTTCTTGTCGACCCAGTACATCTTGTTGTCGTACTCGTAGAGCGCGAGGCCCTCCATCTGGGAGCCCGGGTCGTCGTCGACGTCGTAGCAGAAGACCTCCTTGAGGTCGAGGCCGTCGGGCTCGACGCGGCCGATGCAGCCGTCGACCGTGAAGAAGATGGACGTCGAGTTGCTGTCGATGTCGATGCCGCGCGAGTCGCCGAACGTGTCGACGAGGACGTTCGCGCGGACGCCCTCGAGCTCCTCGTTCGTCCACCAGACGTAGGAGTCGTCGAGCTCGGACCCGAACTCGCCGTCGGTCCAGAACAGCTCCCAGTAGTCCATCGCCGTCGGCGACTCCGTCGCGCCGCCGGCGTCGGCGGCGAGGACGCCGAGCGACTCGAGCTCGTCGCATTCGCAGGCGGCGCAGTCCTCGACGGCCGCCACGTCCGCGGCGAGCAGCGTCCCCTCCGGCGCCGCGGCGCTACTCTCGAGGGCGTGGCCGACCTTGTAGAGGGACTGGACCGCCGCGACCTTGGTCGCGTGGGGCGCCGTGTACGCCGCGAAGGCCGAGCACGCCGCGAGCGCGACGACGGCGCGCTTCGTCGTCCATGCGGGCGCCCGCTCGTCCTCCCCGGACGAGATGCGCTCGTACTTGGGCCCGCCCATCAGCCCTCCTCCTGGCGGGCTGCGCCGACGCCACCAGACCGCAGTGGCTGCTTTAGACGTGCTTGATTAGCAGGGCTGCCGTGCTGTGCAACACGAAGATCGGCGGTCGTGGTGCCGTGCCGCGGCTCGACGACTTGAGCGAGCTAGGAGAGCGTCTGGCCGTCGCGGCGTCGGAAGTTGCGCAGCCACTGCGGTCCCCG